TGAACAGTCATGTGTATATACTGGCATGAAGTGTAAAAGGTCCGTACTATAATTACATTAAGTGATATCTCCAATGGTAGAACTACAAAAGACATCCAATTAATGTTTGTTCAAATGACAGTCGGGTTTATGATGCTCTTAAAAAAAATACATAATGTCTAAGCATAGTAAAAATACAGTGTAAAACCCCCTAAAATTAGACAGTAAACATGTGAACCCTGCACTCACAGTAGGAATGTACTGCACAGCATTAACATGAAAGCCTGTTAAGTTTTAAACAATGCAGACAGCCAGATTTACCTGTATGTAAATGCCACTTCAAGGTGTTTAAACAAACACAAAAAGGAGACAATGATGTCAGGGAAAAGGCCTTTAAAACAGGCCAGCAGTCGAACTTGACTTTCCAAGTAAGAACATCAGCTTCACAAAACTGTGACACTAATGCAGTTCTATGTAAAGTACCCTTTGACGCACAAGCCGGCAATTAAGCTATCACAGTCTCTTTTGACCTACTCCCTTCTAAACAGCTAGGGAGGAGGGCCAATAGTAGCTCAAGTTTTAATCCAGTAAGTACCTTGTCTGTTTGCAAAGGAACATTACAACACCATAAAAGAATACTCTTATGGTATTTAGAAAACTGATCAACCAGTTTCTTTTTTTTTCCCCTCCTATTTTCTCTTTTTAATACATAAGTTCAAAACTTAATCTTCCACGTGTCTTTGCAATAGTGTTTTAGCCAGCGTTGCAAAAACGTTTCCGTTGTGGACTACCTCACGTTGTTACTCAGTTGTGCAAGGTATTCACGCAGTTCCTTTGCGGCCTGGAATCGACCGTATCGCTTCTTTGGGTTGGCACACTCATCCAGCAAGGCCTCGAGTCGGCCGTCTTTGGCAATTTCGGCTGGGGGGTCGTGAAGCAGTCCTCCAGAAGTGCCACGCCACGTGGCGTGTCTTGATAAAAGGTTCTGGCAAATGGCGTAATAATTGTGGTCCACAGTGACACGAGCACAAAGAATCTCTTTCGAGAAGGACAGACAAGCTTCTTTATCACAGTCATCAAACTTGCTTTCATACCACACATCCCAGTTTTCAGGTTTATCTGTGAAACACAGGAAGACAGTAAAAAAAAGTGAGGGAGAGAAGGAAGGAGCACGCGTGTGTCTGAATACAATCAGCAGCTCAGTACACAGCAAACTGGTAATATTTAAAACTACAAACTAACTGTTTATATCCACTCTGAAATGTTCTAGCCTGGGATTGTATCTGGCAGTCTGGCATACCTTTCTGCTGAAATCATCCTGGCAATACAAAAAATAAGGGAAAGAAAGAAAGAAGGTAAAAAAGATAGCAAAGAGATGGAAGCAGAAAAAACCAGCACACTAAACACTTGAGATCTACATTCCCACACGTACCCAGAGGAAAAAAATGTAGCACAGACAGCACAAGAGAATGATCCACAGCTGAACTTGAGAGGAAAACAAACAAGCAACATGATTTATCGTAGCAACACAGATCTGGCTTCTCCAGTTGCCCTGGGAACTAACGCTGGCAAGTGGTCTACCAAAGAGTAAAAACACACTGCAAAGTAACTGCCATCAACTTCTGAAACATCACCTTCCAGACTTTTACTTTAGGCATGGTAGTAACTGGTAAGTACATACAAAAAAGCAGATGCATTACATATAATCCTTGAAGAAAGGAAAAATTCAACAAAACAAATGACATTTACGTACATTTATAAACACTTTTATATATATATATATTTAAAAATATCCAGATTTTAAGGTGTAATTATGGGCCTTGTCACAAAGCTTTCTATACCTTAAAACCCGATTTACAGCAAATACCTTATACAATAACAATACATTAAAGGTTACTGAGTGTGAGGTCTGCTGAATTCTTACTTTTTGTTAGAAAACTTCCATCTTAGTTTCTAGATCACTGCCAGCTTTGAGAAGAGGTCCTTACCATGGAGGCTCTAGTTCTGCAGGTCTCTTTTAGCACTGTGATGTACAAAGATAAATTTAGCTGTGTTTGGTAGTCCCTGAGCTGACTATTGATCTACTGATTTATGATGCACTGCAAGCCACCCTACAATAAAAGCATACTGAAGGATGGCTGCTAAAACTATAAAAATATGATGTAAAATTTGTACAAGGAAAAGCAAACTCAAAATAGAAAAAAAGCCACAAAGGAGAATGGGGGGAAAAAAAAGGACTTCAGCAAACTCAAATACGATATCCCACACAGAGCACAATGAGATATAACTGCACAGTGCAACTGGACGGAATGTACACATTCAAATATCTAAGCAGGCATATTAATCCCTCTAGACGGAGACTGTTTAATGACACTTTCCAGATTCAAGAAATCAGTAGTAAATGTCAAGTTTATACAAAGACTGAGAACTTTGTGTCCTCATTTGTTCTCTGTGTTCTTGATTAACGGTTAATTACAAACCATGCAGCAGAATCCCAGTCAGATCCAAATTAGTCTGCGAACAACAGATGTGAGTGTGACACTTCCTGCATTCAGCTTCTGCAAGAAGCTTGCTCCTATGCCATGTACGTAACAACTCTGTCAGGGTTCACCTGGTCATCTCTGGGACTGAGCAATTTGACTCCAAAAGTCAAAGTTTTAAGTAATATTATTTTAAGACGTTAGAAAAAGAGGAAAAAAGAAGAAGAAAGCTTATTTGTGTGGCCCATAAGTACTAAAATAAATGTACTGGATATTCAGTACATTAAAATGTTTTCTTGGTAGACTCAGATAAATTTAATTTAAGCTCCCTGAGAACATATAATAAATCTAATTAAAAGAAATAAAAACCCCATACCACCAAGACCCCACACACACTTTGTTATAGAAGAGTGTGTGGACAGAAAATAAGAAAATAGTCTTGAAGTTAATTCAGAAGCACAGCAGACGAAGTCTATTTGCAAAGCTTAACAAAAATCCATTCACCATTCAAAGCAAACTGGAATCCCTCGGCCTATTGCCATGAATTTCTGCAGCATCCAGGGCTTCACAGGGCTTCAGCCCTAAGGTCTGTCAAGTTTTCCTCAGAAGCTCCAAAGGAGTATAAACCCATGTAATGCCACTTTGTCAAACATTTCTCCTGCTGCCGCTGCTTTGAGCTTTTACAGTTGGCAGACGGACAAGTGAATTTTCACTATTCCCATTTGGAAACAGCACTAAAATTACCCATTCCTTCAGTTCCATCATTACAGAGCAGCTACCTGGAAACTGAACCAGAGGCAGGCTACGTGACTAGGGCAGAGTGGGCAGGAACACTGTCTGTCACTCAGAAAATAGCATGTCCATCCTTACAGGTGTCTGGGAAGACACAAGGAACCTCTAAGGTATAAAAATCAGCCAGCCAGCCACTGTCAATCTGTCCACACATCGGTACAAACCCATCCAATGGCCAAACTCTCTCCTCCCACCCTCACCTCTCCACTTGAGCAGGGTTACAGAGATTAAAAGGACACGGAAATCAAGTTCAGGTGAGCTCCACGCTTCATAAAATTGACACATTGGTCAAGTTAAATTAGTAGTCTAATTGCAAAAGAAAGCTAATCAGTTTGTTAATTAGTAGTTAAAAAGCCAACAAAACAGGTATTTGGCAACTACACATACTTTAAATACTGTGCTTGAAGAGAAAGAAGCAAGAGACAGGAAAGAAGCAAGGGGTGAGGGGAGAGAAGAAAAAGAAGAGACTTACTCTGTCTGATTAACCTTTTGTCTGCTACCAGGACGTTTTCTGCATCCACAATGATAACTTTCCCGTCTCTGGGTCCAACTGCAAAGTTGTCAAAGCTGACGTCAAGGAGGTAGAGTGCAAATTCAAAGTCATTATTTGTCAGCTGCTCAGCTATTTCCATCAACTGCCAGGCCAGGTCCACTCGTTTCTCCCACGGCGCATTAAAGTAACTCCACAGCTCTTCTCCAACGTAATTGACAGCCACCATTCTCCCGCACGCTCCCAAGTACTTTGCGAAGGGCCAACCCTCATCAGATGGGAAACTCTGTGTGTGAAAAGATTTTTGTTTTAAGTTTTCATTAATACAAAACAGCTTAGATTCTCAAAGGCCGTTCATCAAAATTTAGGAGAGAAACCTGTAAATACTCATCAACACTACAATTCCATGTACTTCTAAGTTTTGAAGTGAAAGAAAAAACAACACAAAATAAATTTATGCGAGCAAGGGGCCCTGTTGGACTATTAAAGGAGAAGGAAAGGTTCGTAGCACAGGTTCTACCACACTTGGGTTGGATGGCATGGTGGGTTTCAGTCTGAATGGAAGCTTTAGACCTCCTGGAATCCACAATGGCAGAAAAAAATTACAGTAAGTTGAGAAAAGAGACCCTGGACGGGAACACATCATGTCGAATAGATCTGAACTGCAAGACCAGTCAGGGAAGAGATGCCCAGCACTCATCCATCTGTGTATGTACTTGAAAAAAACATCTCAAAGTTAGAATGCTTACATACCCAATCACCACAGAACCCATCTCTCCCCTACAACGGTCCGTAACTTTACCTATGTCTGTGCTTCCCTTGACAACAACGGTTTGACCGTTTTATCTTAAGCACTAGGCACGAGCTGACGCCAAGGCAAGGCTGGGATAGTGATGCCGGTCAGAAACACCAGAGGCTCTGTAATACACAAGGAACTGCAAGCCACATCCACACTCAAGTACTAATAGTTATTCTTGAAACGCAAACAACAGGGTTAAAGCTATTCTGAATTCACACACTAAGACTTCCAATTTAGAATTGAAAATGCCCTGAAAAGACCCAGATTTGCTTACATCACGGAAGACAATACAACAACGTAAGTCATCAGTACACAACAATCTTTACTCACAAAACCTGTCTGCGTATTTCACCTGTCATTTTCTGTGTGAGCGTGCTTCCACGGCAAGAACCCAGTCTCGCTAAGACGACCAACTGGCCACTGACCCAGAAGTTCATTGGATCAAGGAATCATCTAGCAATATCCAAGAGGAAGATTTCTAGTTGTCTTCTCTGCCTTTAAAACGACACTGCTGGTAAACACACAAAGGAAAAGCAAAGCAGGAACACTTGCTCAGCACTACCACCGTAGTTTCTCTGTTACATAAAATCTTCAGGATTTCACAACAGCAGCAAGTTTCAGGAGACAAAAAGCCCAACAGAACACTGGGGAGAGATTGTCTCTATCTACTGTGTCATTTTAGTACAAAACTGCAATCTTAGTTACAGAATTTTTAAGTACAAATGCTGCCAATGAAAAGGTTTATTGAGGCACATCAAAGCCTCTCTTAGGGATGGGTAACACAAGTGTTTCCATGGCGCAACCTCTCCCAGCAATTCATAGGTAGCTACAATTCCTTTCTCACCCATTCTGAACTGTCGTCTGAAGCACAAAACCACACAGAGGTGACTAGAAAAAGGAACAGTCATTATTGAGTGTCAAGACCGTACTTACTTCACCACCAGAAAAAAAAGGTAAATGAAAGGTTTGGGCATTCCCTTCCATTTCTATGCCGTTGATACCGGAGAACATCACTCCAAACACTCCATATGGCACTCACTTTAAATCTCCAGTACAAAACTGGAGGGTCTTCAGCCCAAAACTGGGGAGTCTCCAGTCCAACAAACCAATTCACCTACCTACACCATGCTCATTTCCATCCTTCAGACACAGAGAGAAGACTCAGGATCAAAGTATCTGCTCTGGAAGCAATGCTCCTTGACAACTTCTATGCTAAGTGTGAGTCGGAGCCCTTCCTTGTTTTCAGTGTCAAGTAAGGGTTGTTTATGTATCTTATTCCAAATATACAACTGTCAAATAAGAAGGGATGGATGTACTTCAGATCACATGGCAGGGGAGAACCTGAAATGTTTAACCCTCCAGTATAAGGGCAGCTCTTTCTCAATTTAAAATCTGATAAAGTTAAGAAGAGAAAAGCTTAAGGCAACTGTTATTACCAAAACCATAAAATACTTAACAGAAGATAGCATCAGAGCATACAAAATTACCACCTTAAGATTTCCATTCTGCACGCAAGCCTTCTGTCCCAGCAAACCAGGACAAGTCATCAAGCTAACCTCTGACACAGCAAGTGTACAACACCATTTTAGGAGAAATAGCTGTTAACCACTGCAGAAGAACTCTTCTCGGTTGGTCAGAAGGGCATCAGACTCATATTAATAACAGAATAGGTTCAAAGCTTTGGGGATGTCTAAGCCTCTGGACTTCTACTGTATTCTGATCACCTGATGCACACACAGGCAAATCTGGTCATGAAAAATCCTGAATATGATACAGAAGTCATTTGATGGTTTTGAGACCAGTATGTTCAAGTTGTGATACCGTATAATTGGGAACTAAACCTCTCCACAAACTGAATCTACTGTGCAATAAGGATGATGTTATCCAGTCTTCAGTTTTTAGCTGCAGGCTTCAGCTCAGTTTATGAAGGTGGTAAGGGGGGGCAAATATCCACTAGCTCAGGGCACGTCCAGGGGTACCTTCCAAAGTCTGGTGCAGTTTTCTGCTTGTTCTGTGGTTAGCAAAATAACCTTCCAACAGCTGTAGTGTGTGCTAACTCAGTGCTCCTCACTTACCCTACAAACAAATGAATATAATGAAGACTCATGCCTGTGGCACCATAAACGCCACCAAAATGAGATTTCATGCATATTTATCATTGCTGTGTTCAGTCCTGGATGAAAACAAACCAATAAGCAAGTGGCTGTTGTCCATGAAATGAAATTCATTATTTACAAAGGAACATGTAATTTCACTCAAAAGGCAGCACGCGGGAGTTGGTGCTAAGGCACAACCTCCAGGGAACTCTGGGCAAACAAAAGGTTTTCAATCCAGTGAGTGAAATCAAGGGGCGTACAGGAAAATTCCAAATACTGCCTACCAGACTGTACCAGGAAAAACGCATCCAGCTTACGGCTGGGGAAGTCTGAATCTGTGTACCCATCAGTCCTACACCCACACAAGTCTACTTCCTCCAAATCTTACAAATCTACATTTATACCTTAAATTGGAGAAAAAATACCTGATTACATTTTCTGGCAAACACAGGTTTAACCGATTTCACCAACTCTGCGTAACAGTTTCATACTGCTGCATCTGACCAGCACTGAATGCAATATATGCAATTCAACTGCGACAGCAATGATACCCAAATATATTTATTTAAGCATGACTTTGGACCAGTCCACTCCATTTCCAGCCCTCCCTCCCCTTTCCTATATTCCAGTCTTGCTCTGCTTATGCCTTTGCCTCCCTTTCCAAACACAGACTCAAGCACAAACTGTTGAACCTGGCAAAGGCCACGCTACCATTGGAAGTGAAGAGGGTCATCCCTCCCAAGCCGTCAAGCACACTCATTCCAATGCCCTCCTTCTTGTCACTAGGAAAGCAATGCAGCTGGTACTGCCAGGGCTGCTGTTCGGTTATCAGCAGCCTGATCCAGCTCATCACATCACCACATCATGCCGGCAGTGACAAAAGGAAGGGAGCATGCCTGAATAGCCAGGTGCAGAAGAGAGGAAAGGAGCTAAGAGGACCTTTCCTTTCCTTTCGCAGCAGCGATTTATCTAATGGACGAAGCCGGTTTTTGAAAGGACAGCGTTAGTCACAATGGCACACTGATCTTCAAAGCACATCTGTTATGCTTCCTGCATTGTGCACACCGAATTTCATTTCACAGAAGGAATTCCAGGAGCGGTGTGGTGTAAGAAGTGAACATCCCAAACAGTACTAGTGAAGTATCTGCGCGCCGTGCTGTAGCACAGATATACGGACAAGTCTGTGCCAATGAAAAGATCTTTTGACAACAGGAGTGCGGGAATCCTGCCAACATCTGCACATGTACAAACAACATGTCTGGTTTGGCTCCCTTCCCCTTGGCATGCACAGCCACATCCACACCTCGTTACCCAAGGCAGTAGCCGAAAAAGGTGACAAAAATACGTACAAGTGCCCCATTCGGCAGCTCTGTATTCACTCAGTGAATTTAATAAGAATATGAATGGCAGTGCAGATCTGTTGCCTTTGCAAGCACAGATTCGTAACTTCTCCTACTATTCCACTTTGAAAGCATCTTTCTAGATGAAATTGCGACTCACTTAAAGTGAGGGATTTTTTTTCCTTCGTGCACTAAAGTTTTGAAAGCCAGTAAGACATGAACACAAATCTGTAGCCATTAAACATCTTTTCCGTTAACAAGTTGCATTTAGAAACAAAAAGCTTAGTGGACAGCTGCCAGAAATCTCAGCTTTCTATAGAGTAATGTGTAACATTATTAATTTGTATTTTAATTCTCAAATTATTAGCAGTATAAATATTTAATTAGATAATTTTGTACTTGAATATGCTATTTGAAGACTTAAAAATGTGCATTTGACAATTAAGATAAAAATGAAGCTCTTGTTCAAAACCAGAAACAGCTGACAAAAGAATCTGCAATTCTGATGCACCCACTCACATTTTATCTGTGAATATACACACAAATGCCATGGAAACCACACGCAATTGAGCTTTTAAAAGTGTTTTTAGAATATAGTAAGCCATATGAAAACCTACAAACAGGCAGCTAAGTAAGTTTTCCCTCACTGCAGTTGCTCTATTTCTCTATTCGCAGAGAAATACGTATAATGTTCTAACAGAGAGATGGAAAACAGTAAATATGGCAAAAGCTTCTGCTACCTCCATTCCCAGTGACACATAAATAAGAAAAATTTAGATGCCCTAATTAGCGTAGCTACAAGATCTCTCTAAGCAAGGCTCACAAAGCTGAACAAACCCTGCCAAAGGGACAAAGGACATTTTGTTCCTGAAAGAATAATACTGCATTTATGTCTTTAAAAAAAGAAATACGCTGTAGCCTCAGAATAAATACTGAGAATTAATAGGGTGAATTTATCATTGCATAAAACACACTATCAGTGCACTTGTCTTCCTCACTTCCATCTGTCTAAACATGACAAGATACACAAACCTGCCACTGCTTTGGAATG